CTGTATTCACTTGGCAATTTTTTTTTTCTTTTTCTGAGATGGAGTCTTGCTCTGTCGCCCAGAGCTGGAGTTCAGTGGTGCCATCTTGACTCACTGCAACCTCTGCCTCCCGGGTTCAAGCAATTCTCCTGCCTGAGCCTCTGGAGTAGCCCATGCCACCACACTCGGCTAATTTTTATATTTTTAGTAGAGACGGGGTTTCACCAGGTTAACCAGGCTGGTCTTGAACTCCTGAGCTCGTGATCTGCCTGCCTTGGCCTCCCAAAGTGCTGGGATTACAAGTGTGAGCCACTGCTCCCAGCCTTACTTGGCAAATATTATTTGAGCCTCCACTGTGTGTGCTACATGTGCACAAAGTTAGGCACAACACACACAGCCCTAGCCCTCAGCATTCCACTGGACTAGTGCAGCATACAGTCCAGGGAGTAGTTTTGTTTTGTTTTGTTTTTGTTTTGTTTTGTTTTTGTTTTTTTGTTTTTTGTTTTTTTTGAGACGGAGTCTCGCTTTGTCGCCCAGGCTGGAGTGCAGTGGCACAATCTCAGCTCATTGTAACCTCTGCCTCCCGGGTTAAGCAATTCTCTTGCCTCAGCCTCCCAAGTAGCTGGGATTACGGGTGCCTGCTACCACGCCTGGCTAATTTTTGTATTTTTCATAGAGACAGTTTCACCATGTTGGCCAGGCTGGTCTCCAAGTCCTAACCTCAGACGATCCGCCCGCCTCGGCCTCCCAAAGTGCTGGGATTACAGGCGTGAGCCACCGCACCCGGCCTAGGCAGCAGTTTCGTGCAAGGGTGAGTGTGGTCACTAGGGAGGTACAGAGTGGGATGAGGGCTCCCAGTTCATACCAACAGGGGGTGTCCATGAAGATCATCGGGAGAAAATGAAAGCTGACACTAAGTTAAATAAGAATTGGCTTGGCCGGGTGTGCTGGTGCCCATCTGTGGTCCCAGCTACTCAGGAGGCTGAGGCAGGAGGATTGCTCGAGCCCTAAGTTCAAGTCCAGCCTGGGCAACATAGCAAGACCCTGCCTCTATTTTTTTTTTTTTAAACGGCTGGGTTCAGTGGCTTGGCTGATGCCTGTAATCCCAGCACTTTGGGAGGCCGAGGCAGGCGGATCACTTGAGGCCAGGAATTCGAGACCAGCCTGGCCAACATGGCAAAACCCTATCTCTACTAAAAATACAAAAAATTAGCCGGGTATGGTGGTGCGTGCCTGTAGTCCCAGCTACTTGGGAGGCTGAGGCAGGAGAATTGCTTGAACCTGGCAGGCAGAGATTGCAGTGAGTTGAGATCACACTGCCGCACTACAGCCTGCGCCACAGAGCGAGACTGTCTCAAAGAAAAAAAAAAAAAAATATATATATATATATATATATGGGAGGATGTACATAGGTTATATGCAAATTCTACATAATTTTATATCAGAGACTTGAACATCTTGGATTTTGGCATCCTCAGAGGGTACCAGAATCAATTCCCCTGAGGACGCTGAGACGTAATTGTATTTTGCTTAGATAGGAAAGAGATTCCAGGGGTGGGAAGCTGTGAAGTTTCTCAGGACAACAGAGAGAACTGAAGTGCGTGGTGGCTGGAATGGCTATGACTAGACCAGAATCTCCAAATGTGGGCTGGGCACAATGGCTTATGCCCATCATCTGGTATTTTGTTTAGTATTATTATTTTTTGAGACAGAGTCTTGCTCTGTTGCCCAGGCTGGAGTGCAGTGGCGTGATCTCAGCTCACTGCAACCTCTGCCTCCTGGGTTCAAGCGATTCTCCTGCCTCAGTTTCCCGAGTAGCTGGGATTACAGGCGCACACCACCACACCCGGCTAATTTTTGTATTTTTAGTAGAGACGGTTTCACCATGTTGGCCAAGCTGGTCTCAAACTCCTGACCTCAAGTGATCCACCCGCCTTGGCCTCCCAGAGTGCTGGGATTACAGGTGTGAGCCACTGCCCCCGGCCATGATCCCAGTACTTTTGGAGGCAGAGGCAGGAGGATCTGCTTTAGCCCAGGAGTTTGAGACCAGCCTGGACAACATGGTGAGACCCTGATCTCAATTTAAAAAGAAAAAAAAGAATTTCTGAATGTGCTGGAGACCGTAAGGCAGCTAGAACCTTACAGTCCCTCTGCTCCAGCTCCTCAAATTCATAGCATTTTCATCTTTCATTTCTCCAGGCCTTGGCCAGGCACGCTGGCTCACGCCTGTAATCCCAGCACTTTGGGAGACCAAGGCAGGTGGATCACGAGGTCAAGAGATCAAGACCATCCTGGCCAACATGGTGAAACCCCTTTCTACTAAAAATACAAAAATTAGCTGGGTGTGGTGGTGCGTGCCTGTAATCCCAGCTACTTGGGAGGCTGAGGCAGGAGAATCACTCGAACCCAGGAGGCAGAGGTTGCAGTGAGCCGAGATTGCGTCACTGCACTCCAGCCTCGTGACAAAGCGAGACTCTTGTCTTGCAAAAAACAAAACAAGAAACATTTCTCCAGGTCTCATCCTCCGATGACACAGCTCAGAGAACTCCCTGACAAATGGAGACAAAGCCATGACTGCCAGGAGCCGATGGAGTTTGGAGCCAAAGCATCCAACTCACTCCCTGGCTGAGAGCCATGACCCCAATTTGGAGCCTGTTGGAGGCAGAATACTGGCCCCTAAATATTCCCGTACCCTAATCCTTGGAGTTTATGCATATGTTCCTTTATGCAGCTAAAGGGATTTTGCAGATGTGATTAAATTAAGGATCTCGGGATGGAGGATGATCCAGGATTACCCAGGTAGGCCTAATATAATCACAAGAGGCCTTAAAAGATGGAGGAGGCAGACATAGAGTCAACACAGGGAGATGAGAGATCAGGCAAAGTGGCTCAGGCCTGCCATCCCAGCACTCTGGGAGGCAGAGGTGGGAGGATTGTTTGAGGCCAGGAATTTGAGACTGGCCTAGGCAACATAGTGAGACCCCCTCTCTGCAAAAAAAAAAAAACTTAAAAAAAAAATCGGGGTGTCATGGCACACACCTACAGTCCCAGCTACTCGGGAGGCTGAAGTGGGAGGCTTACTTGAGCCTGGGAGGTCGAGGCTGCAGTGAATCATGATTGCACCACTGCACTTCAGCCTGACTGACAGAGCAAGACTGTCTCAAAGCAAAAGAAGGGATTGGGCATGACGGCTAATACCTGTAATCCCAGCACTTTGGTGGGTCCAGGCCAGTCGGTCGCTTGAAACTAGGGATTCAAGACCAGCCAGGAAACATAGTAAGACTGTGTCTCTACAAAAAATGCAAAAATTGGCCGGGTGAGGTGGCTCATGCCTGTAATCCTAGCACTTTGGGAGGCCGAGGCAGGTGGATCACCTGAGGTCAGGAGTTTGAGACCAGCCTGGCCAACATGGTGAAATCCTGTCTGTAATACAAATACAAAAAATTAGCCAGGTGTGGTGGTGGGCGCCTGTAATCCCATCTACTTACGAGGTTGAGGCAGGAGAATCGCTCTGAACCTGGGAGGCAGAGGTTGCAGTGAGCTGAGATCATGCCATTGCACTCCAGCCTGGGCAACAAGAGTGAAACTGCATCTCAAAAAAAAAAAAAAAAAAAAAAAGCAAAAATTAGCCGGGTGTGGTGGCATGCACCTGCAGTCCCAGCTGCTTGGGAGGCTGAGGTGGAAGGATCGCTTGAACCTGGGCAGAGGTTGCAGTGAACCAACATGGTATCATGTAACTGTAGTCCAGCCTAGACAACAAAGTGAGACCCTGTCTTTAAAAAAAAAGAAAAAAAAAGGCCGGGTACAGTGGCTCACACCTGTAATCCTAGCACTTAGGGAGGCCCAGGTGGGCAGATCACCTGAGGTCGGGAGTTCGAAACCAGCTTGACCATCATGGAGAAACCTCGTCTCTACTAAAAATATAAAATTAGCCGGGCATGGTGGCGCATGCCTGTAATCCCAGCTACTCAGGAGACTGAGGCAGAAGAATCGCTTGAACCCGGGAGGCGGAGGTTGCGGTGAGTTGAGACTGTGCCATTGCATTCCAGCCTGGGCAACAAGAGCAAAACTCTGTCTCAAGAAACAAAAAACAAAACAAAACCGAAGAAAGAGAATTTTTTCTTAGCTGGGCACAGTGGCTCACACCTCTAATCGCAGTGCTTTGAAAGGCCGAGGCAGGAGGATCTCTTTAGGCCAGAAGTTTGAGACCAGCCTGGGTAACACAGATCCCATCTCTACAAGAAAAATCTTAAAACAACTGGGCATAGTAGCATGCGCCTGTGGTCCTAGCTACTTGGGAGCCTGAGGTGGGAGGATTGCTTGCATTCAGGAGTTAGAGGTTGCAGCGAGTTATGAAGACCACTGCACTCCAGCCTGGGTGACAGAATAAGACTCAGTCTCTCAAAAAATAAAGAGAAAAAGAAAAAGTCCAGGTGCAGTGGCTCACACCTGTAATCCCAGCCCTTTGGGAGGCCAAGGCAGGCAGATCACCTAAGGTTAGGAGTTCGAAACCAGCCTGGCCAACATGGTGAAACCCAGTCACTACAAAAAATACAAAAATTAGCCAGGTGTGGTAGCGCATCCCTATAGTCCCAGCTACTCAGGAGGCTGAGGCAGGAGAATCACTTGAAACCAGGAGGCGAAGGTTTCAGTGAGCCGAGTTTGTGCCATTGCACTCATCAGGGCAACAGAGTGAGATTCTGTCTTAAAAAAAAAAAAAAATTCTTCTCTCCTCTAGTGACTCCAATGCCTTGCTATGTGGCCTTGAGCAAGCTGCTTCCTTTTGCTGGATGTTGATTTCTATATATGTGAAAGGAGAGAGGAGTTGGGTTAAGGGACTCCCTAGGGGCCATGGAGGCCTGACACCATGACTCAGCATTTCCAGGATGCGATGGACCTGCTGAGAGCTCTCGGATGATGCTCTTGAACTGTCCTCCATCCCAAACCCTGTTTCCTCCGGAGAGTCCTGCCCAGAGTCTCTCCTGCTGCCACAGAGAATGCATTTGTGCTCAGACCGTGACTTCAGTTACAAGAGACGGGGGACAATGCTTTATTGACTTGGCACCTATGAACGGGTGGCTACAGGCCCCCAGGGTTCTTTGCTCCTGCAAAGTGGAGGCTCTGTGGTGGGGACGGCATAAATCAGAGATGCTGCCAGCTGCAGGGAGGGGCCACTGTCCCTGCTTTGGCCCCTCCCCCAGTCCCCTTGTCCAGCTGAGCACCATCTGAGTGAGTCCAGGCCCTCGCGGAGCAGGGCAGGGCAGGGACCCAGGTTCCTCTGTAGCCCCTGAGGGCCCAAGGTAAGAGATGTAGGCCCCTCCTGCCTTCCCTCTTCTTGGGGATCCCAAGATGGATTGGGGGAAGAGGAGATACCCCATTTAAAGAGCCCCTGAGCCTCCTGGATCTAGGGCAAGGAAGGCAGGGTCTGGCGCTATAAAAAGAGCCCCACCAAAGAGAAGAGTTAGGAATCATTTCTCTTCCCCTCGTTTTGGTTTTGGCTGAGCAAAACCATGGGAGCTTTCACTGAACTGGGCTCACAATAGTCGATGACAGGCTGAGGTCACGCAGTAAGTGGATGGGGGTACAGCCAGGCTCCCCCATGCAGGACTGTACTGTCTTGGGTAGGCTCTCTCCCAGGCAAGGGAAGAAGGGGCAAAGTGAGCTGTAGTCGTCACAAGAGGAGGGCTTCCTGGAGGAGGGAGGGCAGATCACAGCTCCCGGAAGAAGAGGTGGTGTGCAGAGCGGGCTGGGTCATGAAGGCTGGCACAGGACACCGGCATCCTCACTGTGGTCGCAGTTGTGGGCATCCCAGCGGATGTGAGAGCAGAGCAGCAGGGCACTCTCTTCCCCACGGCACTTGACATTGTCCAGGAGAATGGGGCCTCGGCCTGGGCCAAAGTGAGCCTCACCAGGGGCTGCGAGGGCCTGGCCACAGCCCAGCTGGCGGCACAGGACACCAGCTGCCCGCAGGTCCCAAGCATCATCACAGACAGTGCCCCACCGTTGCCCTAGGTAGAGCTCTACACGCCCCTCACATCGGTGGGCTCCGTTGACCAGACGTAGATGCCCTGTGGGGGGACAAGGGCTGGGTTGGAAGGGGCTGGTCCATGCCGGGCCACTCCCAAGCTAGGCCAGGTTGGGAGTAAAGAGAGGTCTGAGACACTCTGAGCACTGTCCTAGGAGCCACTAGGTGAAGGCAGACACATTAAATTAAAGTAAGATTGGCACTGGCTGGGCACCATGGCTCACACCTGTAATCCCTAGCACTTTGGGAAGCCAAGGTGGGCAGATCACAAGGCCAGGAGATCAAGACCATCCTGGCTAACATGGTGAAATCCCGTCTCTACTAAAAATACAAAAAAGTAGCTGGGTGTGGTGGCGGGCGCCTGTAGTCCCAGCTACGTGGGAGGCTGAGGCAGGAGAATGGTGTGAACCTGGGAGGCGGAGCTTGCAGTGAGCTGAGATCACGCTACTGCACTCCAGCCTGGGCGACAGAGCGAGACTCCGTCTCAAAAAAAAAAAAAAAAAAAAAAAAAAAAATTGGCGCTGGGTGCGGTGGCTCATGCCTGTAATCCCAGCACTTTGGGAGGCTGAAGAGGGAGGACTGCTTGTGCCCTGGAGCTGGACAGCAGCCTGGGCAACATAGCAAGACCCTGTCTCTAAAAACAAAACAAAACAAAGCAAAAAAATAAAAATTAGCTGGGCGTGGTGGTGGTGGTGTGTGCCTTGTAGTCCCAGGTACTTGGGAGGCTGAAGCAGGAGGATCGCTTGAGGCCAGGAGGTCAAGGCTGCAGTAGCCATGATTGTGCCACTGAATTCCAGCCTGGATGACAGAGCAAGACTGTCTCAAACATAAATAAGATGGGGCCAGATGCAAAAGCTCATGCCTGTAATCACACCACTTTGGGAGCCCAAGGCTGGAAGATCACTTGAGGTCAGGAGTTAGAGACTAGCCTGGCCAACATGGTGAAACCCCGTCTCTACTAAAAATACACACAAACAAAATTAGCTGGGTGTGGTGCCACATGCCTATAATCCCACCTAGTGGGGAGGCTGAGGCACGATAATCGCTTGAACCTGGGAGGTGGGGGTTGTGCCATTGCACTCCTGCTTGGGTGAAAGAGCAAGACTTCATCTCAAAAAAATAAAATAACAAATAAATAAATAAGATGAGCATTAGTCCAGATCCAGAGTCTCAGGACTGGGAGAAAGTGCGCAAACATTTTTGAGTGATCCGCGATGTGTGCTGGGTGCTTTATGTCTGCTCTCTCCCTGGTCCTCTGCTCGTAATCCCAGTACCCCAGCCCCAGGCCGGTTGTTTGGAGATTGTGATTACATCCTATGGTGTCCCCTGGAGGTCATCATGGTCTCCATGGTCTCCCCCAACCCCCTGGGCTCCCAGAACTACATTCTGAATTTTTTTATTGCTCTGCTCAGGACAGGATCCTTATCCCCTCATTCTGATCTCACCTCTAGGAATCTCCAGATATCTCTAGTTTAAAGCTCACCTCCTTCTTTCTGGATACCATATTCCCACAAAGGAGGCCTGAGACCAACCAAAAGGACAAGACTTCCAGGTCCTGGTGTTAATCTGCTGAGCTTTATAACCCAGGCTGTGACCTCCCCCAATCCATGTCCTTCAGACCCTCATGCCTCCACCCACTTTCAGGGGATTATGGGCACCTACCATCTCTGGGCCGAGGAGTGGGCACCCGTGTGGTCTCAGAACCGTCCTGCTGGACTTGCAGTCCCAGCTCCTCTGGGTCTGGTTCAGGAAGGACAGAGATAAGAGGTGGCTGTCACAATGGGGAGCATGTTCCTTAGGGCCAGGTTCCCTCCTGCTCACCCCAGGAAAGCCTGTCCTAGGGACAAAAAGGACTTTACAGGTTCCTGAAGAACTGCTCCCCTTGATCAGAAATGGGGGTTGTGTCACTGGGTGGGGGCAGTGGCTCACACCTGTAACCCCAGCACTTTAAGAGGTCAAGGTAAGGCTGGTCATGGTGGCTCACGCCTGTAATCCCAGCACTTTGGGAGGCCGAGGCTGGTGGATCACCTGAGGTCAGGAGTTCGTAGACCAGCCTGGCCAACATGGTGAAACCCTGTCTCTATTAAAACTACAAAAATTAGCCAGACATGGTGGCATGCGCCTGTAGTCCCAACTACTCGGGAGGCTGAGGCAGGAGAATCGCTTGAACCTGGGAGGTGGAGGTTGCAGTGAGCCACTGCACTTCAGCCTGGGTGACAGACTGAGACTCTGTCTCGGGACAAAAAAAAAAAAAAAGTCAAGGTGAGAGGATCACTTGAGACCAGGAGTTCGAGAGTAGCCTGGGCAAAACAGCGAGACCTCATCGCTATAAAAAATACAAAAATTACGCAGGCACGGTGGAGGTTGAGCGGGGCAGGATTGCGTGAGACCAGGAGTTTAAGGCTGCAGTGAACTATGATCGTACCAGCCTGGGTGACAGAGCAAGACTCTGTCTCAAAAGAAAAAAAAAAAAAAGAAATAGGGGTTGTGCCTCTCCAAACCTTCGCCCCAAAGCAGAACCTTTTGTGGCCCAAACTATGGGAAGTAGGGCCTACTAGCCCTGGGGCACCAAATGAGGGCGAAGACATCAATTCCCACAACAACCAATGAATTTCACAATGTTCTGCCAAACTGCAAACACCCCTTTCCATTGATTCCATCCAAAGGTCACACGCTAGCTCTGGTAAGGGTGATCCACTCTCTGCCTAATAGAGTTTTGCTGGGTCTAGGTTTAGCCGGGAGCAAACGGCCCCGCCCTTTAGGAACTCGATGGCTTTCTCGAACAGGGATCGGCCTTAGCCCTGACCTTCGGACACCGCCCCTCACCGCTGCACCACGCGGCCCTCCCCAGGTCCCGCCCCATTTTCCACTGCAGCAGGCTCTCCGTTCCGGCCCCGCCCCGCCGCGCAGCCGCAGGGCGCACGGACGGCGGGGCGGCGCCCCTCTGCGGAGTGCGCATGCTCCCCGGGCGGCAGTGCCGCAGAGAGGCTTCACGCGTGGCCCCGCCCAGGCCGCGCCCGGCCCCGCCCCGCCCCTCCCACGCCGCAGTGCGCGACCCCGCGGGCGGCCTCACCTGCGCAGAGCGCGCCCGCGTCCTCGTGGTGGCCGCAGTTGTGCTGGCCCCAGCCCAGGTGGAAGCAGTCACTCAGGCGGGCCTCGGTGCCGGCGCAGCCCACGTTGTCCAGCAGCACGGGGCCGCGGCCGTAGCCGAAGTGGCCCAGGCCCGTGGCGCCCAGTGCGGGCCCGCAGCCCGCCTCACGGCAGGCCACGCGCGCGTCCGCAAAGTCCCAGTCATCGTCGCACACGGTGCCCCAGCCCCCGGCGTGCAGCACCTCCACGCGGCCGCGGCACGGGCCCGGGCCGCCCACCAGCCGCAGCCGCCCGCCTGCGGGGTGCATAGGCCCGCGGCCAGAGGGGCTGGGCTGGGGCTGCCGGCTCCCGGGCAGAGCCCCAGCCGTACCCTCCCCCACCCCCCGCAGACCCTGGGCACCGCCACTTACTTTTCTTCCCCGCGGCCCAGGCGGCGGTGGTGAGCAATGCCGTCTCCCGGGAAGGCTGGGGGCCAACTCCTGTAGCTGCGGAGACAGAGCATCTAGAGCGTTCGTAGGGAACGAGGAGGCCTTCTGTCTTGCAGCAGGGCACGGGGACGCCTACCAAGACCCCCCAACCCTACCACACCCCTACCCCCACTCAGCTGCAACCCCAGAGTCACCGCGTTGTCTGGCGCACGTTGGGATCTCCGGGAAACTTGGTTGAATGAACCGAAAGCTAATTCTATGTATTACCCTAACTTCAGGTCCAGGGATAGTTCCTATCCTAATTTCAACTGCACTGCTAACCTTGATTCAACCTTCATCTCAATCGACCCCCTCGTAAGGTCCTCTCAATTCCCAATCTCAGCATCGTCCCATTGAAAAAAAAAAAAAATTAACTTCGAGACGGGATCGACAGAGGCGCAGTGATGCAATCATAGCTCACTGCAGCCTAGAACTCCCGGCCTCAAGCGATCCTCCTGCCTCGGTATTCCAAAGTGCTAGGACTGGCGCAAGCCACGATGCCCAGCTAGTTTGTTTTATTTATTTATTTATTTATTTTGATACAGAGTCTCGCTATGTCGCCCAAATTGCAGTGCAGTGGTGTAATCTGGGCGCTCTGCAACCTCTGCCTGCCAGGCTCAAGCGATTCTCCTGCCTCCCAGAGTGCTGGGATTACAGGCGTGAGCCACTATGCCTGGCAATTTAAATATATATATATTTAGAGACAGGGTCTAGCTGTGTTGCCCAGGATGGTCTTCAGCTGACCTCAACCGATCCTCCCGCCTGTTTCCCAAAGTGCTGGGATTACAGGAGTGAGCCACCACCCACATCCCAAATTTTACTTCTGTGCTTTGAAGAAATCTCTTACTGCCTCCTCCCACCCCGCTGAAGTTTTCAGAGCTCTGAGTTTCATCATCCTTGCTCCGTCTGCTCATAATTCTCTCACCCACCTCTGCACCATCTGGCCAAAGCCCTGGCCTGTTAGCCAGGGCCCCCGCCTGTGGATCCAGAACATTCTTCCCAGTTCCCAGCCACACCCACCGTGCCCCTAACATTCCCGCCTGGAGGGCTGAGCTCTTTACCGGATGGATCTGTGTGCCAAGCCCAGTCCTCTCTTGTGGCCGAGGATGGCAGTGCTGTGAGCGTTGGGGGACCCAGGACTAGGGCAGGAGAGAAGGGGCAGGGTCAGAGGCTGAGATTCTGGTCCCTGGTCAGCCATGGGCTGTCAGGGGAGGATAGGAGGGTCTCCCTGGAGGAGAGAATAGATGTTACTTCCAGGTCTGGTAGCCCAGCTGCAGCGGGGGTCTAAGGAGGCCTGTCCCCACTTTGATAGTCGTTGTAATTCGCTTGTGCTGTGAGGTGTACACTTCAGTTTATACAGGGCTCTCACAGACACGCTTTCATTTCTCTCCAATGTCCCACGTTCTCATCAGAAGCCCACTGTGTCCAACGGACATGGAGTACAGAAGGCCTTGCCCATCAGGGAGGACCATACACAGTCCTGAGTTCCCTTTATCCTCCTCTTTTCACTGAGACGGAGTTTCACTCTTGTTGCCCAGGCTGGAGTGCAATGCTGCAATCTTGGCTCGCCGCAACCTCAGCTCGCCGCAACCTCAGCTCCCCGCAACCTCTGCTTCCCAGGTTCAAGCGATTCCCCTGCCTCAGCTTCCCAAATAGCTGGGATTACAGGCGCCCGCCACCACGCTTGGCTAACTTTTGTATTTTTTTAGTAGAGACAGGGTTTCACCAGCCAGGCTGGTCTCCTGACCTCAGGCGATCCACCCATCTCAGCCTCCTAAAGTGCTGGGATTACAGGCGTGGGCCACCGTGCCCGGGCCATTATCCCCCTCTTACAGAGAAAACAAGGCTAGCAGGGCAAGGGCCATGCCCAGGGTTAGCAGGGGTCACTGAGACAGAATTCTGCCCTTCTATAGCCCCTCTTAAAGTAAAAAAAAACAAAAAGACAACTAATCTCAGGCCGGGCGCAGTGGATCACGCCTGTAATCCTAGCACTTTGGCAGGCCGAGGCGGGCAGATCATGAGATCAGGAGATCAAGACCATCCTGGCTAACACAGTGAAACCCTGTCTCTACTACAAATACAAAAAATTAGACGGGCATGGTGGTGGGTGCCTGTAGTCCCAGCTACTCAGGAGGCTGAGGCAGGAGAATGGAATGAACCCGGTAGGTGGAGCTTGCAGTGAGCCAAGATCACGCCACTGCACTCCAACCTGGGCAACAGAGCGAGACTCTGTTTCAAAAAAAAAAAAAACAACAAACAAACTAATCTCTGAGAGGGAAATGGGGCGGGGTGGGGGCTCACTCAACTCGGGAGGTGGGGCTCAGATACTGGACCAAATTGAGGACTAGCTGAAACAGGGATGGGGTGGGAGTGCCTCTCCATGAGATACGCCCACCCGTGTGCCATGTCAGTTTACCATTGCCGTGGCAACACCTGGAGTTACCTTTCCATGGCAACATAGACAACCCAAAAATTACCATTCTAGTTCTTAAAATATCTGCATCATCTGTCCCCTAATTTGCATATACTTGAAAGTAAATAGAATTATGACTGCAGACCTGTCTCTGAGCTGCTACTCTGGGCACACTGCCTATGGGGTAGCCCTGCTCAGCGAGGAGCAGGGTCTCTGCTGCTGCTGTGCACTGCCGTGTCAATGAAAGCTGCTAACACCAGCTGGCCCTTAAATCCTTTGCTGAGGGAAACCAAAAATCCTACTGGACTAAGCCTCAATTTGGGGGCTCCCCTGCGTTGCATCAACTGTGTGATCATGGGCAAGGCTCTGACTCTCTGTGCCTCAGCTTTCTCACCTATACACATTGCCCTTAGTTTGCTATGAATTATGAGTTGTGGGCAACCACTATGATCTCTTATAGAGCAGAGTCCATCTGTGAAATAGCATTATTGGCCCTATAATTCCTCTTTGCTGAGAAACCCTCCCAAATTGGAGAGGGCCCAGGTGGGGAGAAAATACTATTATTAGAGCATCACAATGACAGAGGGTTGTGCTAGGTAATTCTGTGAGCATTAGAGAATTCTGGAATATCTCTGGGGCAATTCTAGAATGTTACTCTAAAGTGGTCCAGGAACAGTACTTGCTGGAACGTTCTGGAGGCATCCTTGGGATATTGCTATAGAATTATTGAGTATTGGTGAAGCAATAGTGCAGTTTTTGTTTTGTTTTGTTTCTTTGTTTTTTGAGACAGAGTCTCTCTCTGTCGCCCAGGCTGGAGTGCAGTGGCGTCAGCTCGGCTCCCTGCAACCTCCGCCTCCTGGGTTCAAGCGATTCTCCTGCCTCAGCCTCCCAAGTCGCTAGTATTACAGGCGTGCACCACCATGCCCAGCTAATTTTCGCCATGTTGGCCAGGCTGGATTAGTGCAGTATTGTTACATAGCCGTGGAGTGTACCACGAGGAGTTCTGGGATATTCGGAGGCACTTCCAGTACAGTACTGAGATACAAGTAATTTTGGAGGCTGCCTGGGGAGCTCTGGGGAGCATCAAGACAGCCAAAGCACACTCTACATCCACCTGCCCACTCAAGCCTCCTCCTCCAGCATTGGCGCAGGGCCCCGCCCACCTGCCCCGCCTCCGCCCGCCGCCCACCGCCCACCGCCCACAGCCCCTAGAGCCCGCACCTGCGCAGAGCGCGCCCGCGTCCTCGTGGTGGCCACAGTTGTGCACGCCCCAGCCCAGGCTCTGGCAGGCTGCCAGGCGGGGCTCGCCGCCTTCGCAATGCACGTTGTCCAGCAGGATGTGCCCCGTGCCATAGCCGAAGAAGGCGTTGGTGGTGGCGGCCATGGCCGCTCCGCAGCCCAGCTGACGACAGACCACAGCAGCATCCGGCAGCCCCCAGTCGTCGTCACACACGGTGCCCCACAGGCCACCGTGCAGGATCTCCACTCGGCCCTGACACAGGTTCGCGCCCCCTACCAGGCGCACGCTGCCCTCACCTGGGGACAGGGGCGGGGGCAGGGCACATGTCCCACTGGCCTCTGCTCCCGTCCAAACCGCAAAGGCGGCCCGGTATCCCAGGACCTACAACCCGTGGGCATCTTCTCACCCTGCTGCCCAGGGTACCGCCTCCTTGGTCCAGAACTGGGGGTGGCTTGTGGGATCACGGTATCATCCCTGCCTAAAACCAACCCCCCTACCCTGCTCCCTGTCTCCTGGCAGCCTGGGACGTGCTGCTTTCTCATCTACTGCAGAAGACATCCTCAAGATAAGGCGCCCACACCTCTTCCTCCAGGAAGCCCTCCCTGATCTCCTGAGGAACGGGACCCTCTTCCACCTCTGGACTTCCTTGCCTCTTTCACTGTCCCTCTTTTAGAGCACTTTTCATTTTCTTGTTCTAGTCATGATCATCATTCTTGGGCTCATCTGACTTTCCTGTGAGATGAAGCTCCAGTCTCACCCCTCACTCATTTTCTCTCTTTGGTCTCACTGTGTCCCCCAGGCTGGAGTACAGTGGCATGATCTTACTGCAACCTCTGCCTCCCGGGTTCAAGTGATTCTCCTGCCTTAGCCTCCCAAGTAGCTGGGACTACAGGCATGTGCCACCATGCCTGGCCAATTTTTGTATTTTTTGTAGAGACAGCGTTTCACCATGTTGGCCATGAACTCCTGGCCTCAAGTTATCCACCTGCCTCTGCCTCCAAAGTGCTGAGATTGCAGGCATGAGTCACCGTGCC